AAATTTATATGGAATCAACAAAAGACCCAAGAATTTGACCAAAGCAATACTGAAGAAAAAGATCAAAGCAGAAGGAATAACCCTTCCAGACTGCAGACAATACTACAGAGCTACAGTAATCAGAAGTGTGGTATTGGTACAAAAACAGACATATGGATCAAGGGAACAGAAAAGACAGCCCAGAAATAAACTCACAGATCTATGGTCAATTAATATTGACAAAAGAGGCAAGAATATACAATGGAGAAAAGACAGTCTCTCCAGCAAGTGGTGTTGGGAAAACTGGACAGCTACATGTAAATCAGTGAAGTTAGAACACTCCCTCACACCATACACAAAGATAAACTCAAAATGGATTAAAGACTTAAATATAAGACAAGACACTATAAACCTCCTAGAAGAAAACATAGGCAAAACATTTTAGGACATAAATCTTAGCAATGTCCTCCTAGGGCAGTCTACCCAAGCAATAGAAATAACAAAAATTAACAAATGGGACCTAATTAAACTTACAAGCTTTTGCACAGCAAAGGAAACCATAAACAAAACAAAAAGACAACCTACAGAATGGGAGAAAATATTTGCAAATGATGTGACTGACAAAGGTTTAATTTCCAGAATATTTAACAGCTCATACAATTTAATAACAAAAAAAAAATCCAAAAATGGGCAGAAGATCTAAGCAAGCGACTCTCCAATGAAGACAAACAAATGGCCAAGAGACACATGAAAAAATGCTCAGTATTGCTCATCATCAGAGAAATGCAAATCAAAACCACAATGAGTTATCACCTCACACCAGTTAGAAAGGCCATGATTAAAAAGTTCACACATAATAAATGCTGGAGATGGTGTGGAGAAAAGGGGACCCTCCTACACTGTTGGTGGGAATGCAGTTTGCTGCAGCCGTTATGGAAAACAGCCTGGAAATTCAGAGGTCGCCTCTCTGGGGAGCCAAACCTGCTGTTTCCCCTCCAAGTCCCTGGAGCCATCATGGGGTTTGGAGGTTGTGACTAGCTATGTTCCTTGTGGTGTCTGAAACCCAAAGCATTTACTCTCCGCCCTTAAAGTCTAATGTTTTAACTGGTTTAGAGGAATCGAAAACTTGTAGCCTTAGAGATTTTTTTTCCCCGTGAAGTCTCTCATCTAGTTCCCAGACCTGAGTCAGCTCACAGACCTAATGTCTGTTAAGGAACAGATCAGATGATCTCGTGGAAGAACTCTGACATGACACCTCATGTGAATATCCCGAGCTTTTGTCTTTGTTTCCTCCAAAAAAAGGTTACAGCCATTTACTCCAGGAAAACACAGAAAACGTACAGGGACTCTTCGATCCTTACCTTGAGCCATTGTGATTCTTGAGAACCTTGGTGCTACCGTGGTCGGCTGCACAGCATAGAGGTTCATAAAGTCCAGGTGAGACAGACACTGTCTGGAATCTACCTCACGTTCAGGTGAACCGTCTCTCTAAATCCGTCCTGTGGTTCTTCTTCCAGTTCCTATGGGGACAGTTGGAAATACACCCTAGCAAGTGGCAAAATCTCAATGCCGCTGTGACCCACGGACTGTGGCTGCCACGGGAAGAAGGGCCAAGTGGAGGCCACCTGAACTCTTTAAGCCAAACAGTAAATCAGAAGCAACGCTGTGTCTGCGGGGAACAGCCAAGTCTTGTTCCACCGTGAAAGGCTGCAGGTGAGGCCTCGCCGGGAGTACAGGCGGCGTGTGCCTCCACGGCGAATTTCGTTCTAGGATTAGAGCTACCTGTTATTTGGGACAAGGGCAGTGATCACTACCAGGACGCCGCTGCTGGCAAATAGCTGTGGACCCACAAGAGACCCCCGCTGGCTGTGGGGGAGCAGCACCCAGGAAAGAGGCTGAAGTTCCCCTCAGCTGCTGGGACCAGCTTCTGTTATCTCTTGGATAAGTTCTCTTCCCTTAATAGAAGAGAGCCTTCAAATTATGGCAAAACCCAACGGGAGTCATTTACTTTAGACATTTATTTCACATACAAGTTTTCAAGAAGACATCTAAGTGAACATTTATACGGAACGACGAGTACAATGAGCAGACATACCTTCTACTCAGAACGCACTCAAGAGGCAAAGCTTACGGCTACACCAGTCACCCCGACGCTCCCCGCTCGGGGCCTCCCCAGCTCCCCGGGGCTGAGTCTTGCCTGTCGTTGGGCGCCACACCTCACCAAATAGGCTTTCTTCGCTGCAGCTACCTGTCATTGCCCAAAACATTCCAGCAGCCTTGGCAATCACACTTGCTTCTCTTCAGATGAGGTACTCAGGCCCAGAGAGTCTGATGTGTCAAACAAGACTCAGAAAGTGTCCTTTGGCTTCTGGTCTAGTGCTCAGTCTACGGGGCAGGCAGCCCTGAGCTGTTTTAAGTATGCTGTGAAGTTTTCCTCTCTAAAAAAAAAAAAAAACTAAGGTTTCCTTCCAGATAGAGTCAGTTGTATGTGTAATAAAATCACCAGTAAGAATCGAGGTTTCATGGGAGTAACAAAATAATCCTAGGCAGGAATACAGGCCAGGTTCCAAAGTGCCTTGGGTAAGAGGTCAGAGAATAAAATGTCTATTTGTTTATACCACTTTTAAAAAAATAGGATTTGGGGCAATTTTTAAAGATACAAGACAGGATTAAATAAATATAGGTTTCAGGTAGTTGGTTGAGGTGAGTTGTAAGTTTTGCTTTTGTAAGTTTCTTTGTTCCAGCAGCTAGAACAAAGAAAGAAAAGCAGTAAGTTATAAACAAATAAACAAAAATCACAGTGTTTGTAAGGTAACCTTTTCTTTTCCCCCCAGCTTTAGGATCAGAGCTTTCCCTGGTACTGAGAGATAGGAAAAAAACTTTTTCCAATGGATCTTCATAAAGGCAATGTTATGTGATCTGAGTCACATTAATCAGAGTATGACTGTTATTTTGACTTTCATGTGCCACCTGAAAAAAGATAAAATACAGTCTTGGTCTAAGATGGTGAGCAGGAAT